TTTTTTTTTTTTTTTTTTTCAACGTTTATTTATTTTGGGACAGAGAGAGACAGAGCATGAACGGGGGAGGGGCAGAGAGAGAGGGAGACACAGAATCGGAAACAGGCTCCAGGCTCTGAGCCATCAGCCCAGAGCCCGACGCGGGGCTCGAACTCACGGACCGCGAGATCGTGACCTGGCTGAAGTCGGACGCTTAACCGACTGCGCCACCCAGGCGCCCCGATGATCTGCTATTTTTGAATGCAGACCTTGAAAATATTGGAAGTAGTTTGCAGTTTTATTTAGGAACCTCTTAATGACAAGAATTTGATTGATATATAACTTCAAGGAAAAATTAAAACAAATATACAGAGTTAAACTTCGTTTTTGGCTGAATCATGTGGTTATGCAGTCACAAATACTGATTTTGAGACTGTGAAGGAAGAGTGCATTTATTAAGGTTTTTGAATGCTGTTTACAGGTTAAGGACTCAGTCTCTGAGAAAACAATTGGACTGATGCGAATGGAGTTTTGGAGAAAAACCGTGGACGACATATACAGTGACAACCCACCCCAGCAGCCTGTGGCCATCGAGCTGTGGAAGGTAAAAGCAAAATGCTACTTTAAAAAAAAATTTTTTTTTAACGTATATTCATGTTTTGAGAGACAAAGACAGAGTGTGAGTGTGGGAGGGGCAGAGAGAGAGAGGGAGACACAAAATCTGAAGCAGGCTCCAGGCTCTGTGCTGTCAGCACAGAACCCGGTGTGGGGCTCGAACTCACGGACCATGAGATCATGACCTGAGACGAAGTCAGACACTTAACCAACTGAGCCACCCAGGAGCCCCACAAAATGCTACCTTTAATTTGTAAGTGTTATTTGCGCATACTTAAAAACAAATTTTTTTTAATGTTTATTTATATTTGAGAGAGAGACAGAACACGTTTGGGGAAGGGGCAGAGAGATGAGACAGAATCTGAAGCAGGCTCCAGGGTCTTAGCTGCAAGCTGTCAGCACAGAGCCCAACGTGGGTCTTGAACTCATGAGCAGTGAGATCATGACCTGAGCCGAAGTCAGACGCTTAACCGACTGAGCCACCCAGGCACCCCTTGAGCATACTTTTTGATGCATACAATTTGGCTAGTGGCTATGGGGAATCTATCCTGAAAAAATCTTAGGCTCATGTAATGTTCAAAGCTGTTAGTTTTGATAGGAATTTTAAATCATCTGCTAATAACCTGCACAGATCTTTACTGAATTTATTAAAGGAAAAAAAAAAAGAATCTGGTCCCTTTGTGTTACCAACTACTTATTTGTTTTCCACATATTTGGTTGTAGAAATTAAACACCATACATTTTAGAAAATGTTTTATTTATTTTTAAGAGAGAGAGCACGAATGGGGAAGGGATGGGGGTTGGGGGGCAGAAGATCCAAGGCAGGCTCTGAGCTGTCAGGACAGAGCCTGATGTGGGGCTCAAACCCATGAACTGTGAGATCATGACCAGAGCTGAAGTTAGATGTTCAACTACTGATCCACCCAGGCACCCCAAACCCCATACATTTTGAAGCAGTGGCAGGTTAATTGTTCTATCTGCCCAGCAGCTCCTTATTCTAGTGCTCCAATCCATTCCGTGGGCTGTAGAAAAACGCATACTGATCTTTTGTGAAGGGAGACTTGCGATCACCATTGTCCAGACACAAATGTAAAACTGCCTTGTTGCATATTCATTGATGAATTTTAAGTATTAGAGAATGGAAACTTATGGGCTGGAGAATTATTCGGACAGCTAGATGTATACAGTGAATAGTTTCACATTAAAGCAGTTATATGGATCCCTCATTCATAAACAGCCACGCAGAGTTCTGAAATGTGCTGCACCATGACTGGTGGAAGGGAATTAGGTGCTTTTTGTCACTGATCTGTGTCCCCACTGTAGTGTGATGAGTGCTAAAAGACAGGTTCTGTAACGGAGCCATGGACAGGCCTGACAGGGGTGCCCCTCTTCTCAGGTCTGCACACCAGCAGAGGCAGGCCCCGTTCCTGGGCCCCCGACCGACTTCCAGAGCCCCAGTAAGGATGGAAAAAGGCAGGCCCTCCCAAGTCTGGGACTGAGAAGAAAAAGTGGATGGGAAGCAGTGAGTATTAGATTAGTTGTTTATCTCTGTTTACCTCACTTTAAGAACCTCAACCTTGGGGACTCCATTTAGAGAAAAATTTTCTCTAAAATCTAGAAAAACTCTTCTTTTACACTCAGACATCCCCGCAGTGGGGGTTTATGCTAAGGCTTGCATCCTTAGAGATTCCTTCAAGACAAATTTATCTTGTCTTGGCCTCTCTCAAAAAAAAAAAAATACAGAAGACCCATCTGAATTGTAGAATGTTTACACATGTGCCAATTGATCCGATTTTAATAGCTCTTTAAATGTTGATGATTGCTGTTGACCAGCTTTCTGATATGACCAGTGTTGAAGGTTAATATGAATATTTGAAAGAAGCAGGTGGTGGTCATAGCAGATGTCTTGATTGCATGTTTACCCTTCCACACTCTGCTGGAGCACATGCTTTTTGCACACTGTCCAGTAAAACTTTTCATTGGTTCTTTAGAGAGCATCAGGTTCTTTTAGAAGATTAAGTGGGGAAAGAGTGACAGTGTATTGTGTAGGGAGAACTCTTCTGCCAGTGATTCATTAGTGCTTTTAGGATGCAAGATAATTGCATATCTATAATTACATGTGTATTTCATATGGTTTTCTCCATTTCTCTGTGTATTAATGTTAGTTGCAAGCTTGAACTTATGTTTATAGCCAAGGTTTTTATTCTGTTTGGCTTCTGTTTTAAAAATTGTTGATACTTTATTCAGCAGATTTTCAGCTGCTTATTAAATCCTTGTTTTTTTTTTTTTTTTAATTAAAAAAAATGTTTTTTTCAACCTTTATTTTTTTTCGGACAGAGAGAGACAGAGCATGAACGGGGGAGGGGCAGAGAGAGAGGGAGACACAGAATCGGAAACAGGCTCCAGGCTCTGAGCCATCAGCCCAGAGCCCGACGTGGGGCTCGAACTCACGGACCGCGAGATCGTGACCTGGCTGAAGTCGGACGCTCAACCGACTGTGCCACCCAGGCGCCCCAAATCTTTGTTTTTTTTTTTTACCTTGATCTCTGATTTCCTTCAGAATCAGACAGAAGAATTATATTTTATGGTCAAGGAACTATAGCTGTTATGGTTTCAGCCTTGAGTAAACAAAAATCTGACTTTCTGTGGTTAAATATGTATTTAGTACTTTTATATGCCAGGAATGGTACTTGATGGTGGTTACAAAGATCAAACATGCCTTGCCCCACTCAGACATGTACAAAATAGAACAAGATCAGGACTCTGTAATGACTGAGGAATCCCAAGCTGATTCCTGGGACTGGGGAGAGGCCTGCAGGGAGTCCTGCCATGTAATAGCAGCAGTGCTGAGAGCTTTGCAATCAACACCGTGCAGCTCCTTTAGCTTCTGTTAGTTCCTGGAAGGCAGAATGGGCCCTGTTCTCTGTGCTTCCAGTTAGTATCATTAGTCATTAGTATCAATGATGTCTTAGAGTTTAGATGGAGTATAGGATATTCCTGAGACTTTGTTTCACTACCATATTTATTTTTTCTTCCCTTTTAAAAAGATTTATGTATTTTGAGAGAGAGAGAGAGAAAGAGGGCAGGGGAGGGGCAGAGAGAGAGAGGGAGAGAGAATCCCAAGCGTGTGGAGCCTCATGCTGGCTCAAACTCCTGAACTGTGAGATCATGATCTGAGCTGAAATCAAGAGTTGGGCACTTAACTGACTGAGCCATCCAGGTGCCCCTGCCATATTTATTTTTTATGAAAATATATCTTACTTATTGTTGACTTGGCAAGAAAACAATGTTTTTAAAACTTATTTGGAAATAATTTCAAACTTTCAGAAAGGTTGCAAAATTTAAAACGGTACAAAGAACACTTGCATAATCTACATCCAGATTCACCTGTTGTTAACATTTTTATCTTGTTAATGATTTGTGCAGTGCCCACATACAAGTTCATGTGTGCTCTGTGTGTGTGTGCATTTTCACACTTATAATTTTTATCTGAATCACTTGAGTTTAAGTTCTATAATTCATGGCCCTTCATCCCTAAATACTTTAAGTATTTCCTAAGAATAGGGATATTCTCTGATGTTATCTGAATAGCTACTAACTTTTGTAAATTTAACTTTGATGTAACATTTTTATATAATTTTCCATTTATATTCCACTTTTGTCAGTTTCCCCAGTAATGTCCACAATAGTATTTTCCCCTCGAGTATAGGATCCAGTCTAGGATCATGTATTAGTTGTCACGTCTCTTTCTCCTGCTTTAATCTGGAACATTTCTGTAGCTTCTATCTTCTATGACATTGATTGATTTTTTTTTTTTTTTTT